TTAACATTAACATTAACATTAACATTAACATTAACATTAACATTAACACTAACATTAACATTAACATTAACATTAACATTAACATTAACATTAATATTAACATTAACATTAAAACGTACTTTGCAGTATATTTACACATGCACACGACTATGACGGAAATCATTAAAGTGCAAATACCACAAAGATAAAGTGAGATACCGAACGTGAAGTGCCATAACGCTTAGCTAAAGTGGAGGTTGCTCTCACATCCCATTCTTGTACAAAAGATGATGTTAAATATGTACCACACATTAAACGACGAAGGTGTTGGCCCCCTTTGAGGTTATCGATTCAGATATCAAATGCGGAAAGGAAAGCATAAATAATAATGGCAAATACTGCGGCACATTTGCAACAACTGTCGCTGATTGCTACGCCATTTATTAATAAACCCCATAAAATATAAGCAGGGCGCTCAACTAAATGACGAGAAAAATATTATAATTTGAGTACACAGTTATTAGTTGCGCAAAGAAAGTTAAGGCTAAAATGAAAACAAAATATATTGCTGCTTAATGACTTTCGCTCTTCTAGTTTTATCGCTGTTACAACTACAAAAAAAAAACAGTAGAAACTGCGCTTTAATAATAATGGGGTAACTTATGTGACGAACACACCCACAAACTTAAAAGTATTCATCAGCATTGAGATACCTACAGATATTCTTACCAGAGTAGACATCAGAAGAGTTTGCCCCACTCAGCGGAGGCCGTGAACTTTACGCGACAACAGCTGGCAATACAATTATTATGATTATTACGCAAATGCGCAAAATACGCTGCCGCTGCTGCGTGCACGCTCAAACACTTTGCAAAGCACATGCGAATGTGGCAGCGACTATGAGGTTTTATATGTGTGAAAGTATATGTACGTGTCTGTACTGTTTACTTATTACGTGACTGTCGGTGCGTGACTCTAGAGTCATCAAATGTTTCGAGTCCTCGCGCGCTCGTTGTTGTTAGGCGCTAAAAATGCCATACTGTGTGAACTTATTTTATTGTTTTGGTTTTAGAATGGCTTAAAAAAGAATAATCATGAATATATTTACATTCTTTCATTAAAAAGTTATTAAGTGCATTAATGTTGAGTATAAAGTCACGAGAGCTATTCAATTATAATTACATAGACTTCAAGATAAAACTTATGGAATATATAAGAATATATAAGAAAGAAACAAAGTTGGAATGAAACCACTGTTATCATATATTTACTTGCCCTTCTCCAATTAATATGAACTAGTGTTTGGGCCTCAACCGCGAAGCACCACAATATTTTATCTATGTACACAAAGTATATCGAAAGCTTCCTATATGTAGTCAGTTAGAATAATTTCAAAATATCATAAGTTCCAGACAATCTAAAATCGAGATGAAACACTCGTAGTCTCAATTTCGGGTTGAAGCATAATCAGAATTATCTAACAGGATCACAAATTCAGAAGCTCCATAGTGCCACCGCTGAGTATGTACGCGCTGATCGAGAAGTAATCACACAGATATAAAAGGCATAAATGCCCTAGCATTAAGTGAGGTCTTTTAAAAAACACCAATACTAGTCTAATATTTTCCTCATAAAATAAAGTGCGTTAGGAATATTTTGGGACGAGTTTCATCACATAATAATTTTGTGAAAAGATGAATAATGGAACATTTGATCCTAATGAATGAACTGTTCTCTGGTTAGCAGTAATGATGCGGACTCTACTACTTTCGGAAAAAAATTTTCATATTCAGGAAGCTGGCGAAAGCAGTTTATACCAAAAAGGTAAATATATTGGATTAGGCGTATCCTTAGTGAATGTCGAATAATCTAACTATGTATATAATTCCAACAAAATCACGATTGTGAACAATTTTCTTTGATTTTTTGTTAACACAAATACACTCTCACAGTTCGTTCTGCCTTTTTAAATCTAGTACAAATACAAGCCTGAAATCTACACTTTCTACTGCCAGCTACTGTATAAACTACTATATATAAATATATATATATTTGTTTATGTATTTATATGTCTACAATAATTTGTTCTCACGCTAAGTACATTAATTTGTGAGGGCGCGTGCTTTAATATTTTTTTACAACAATACTCAACCATTATTACTGTTATAGCACGAATCATGCTAAGGTTACCATCCATATATAATATATATGTACGTATGTATGTGCTATAAATGGGCGCACACGATGTCATTCAAAAGTACTCATATTAAATTTTTTCCATTTCCATTTCCATTTTCAAGCACTGAAACACATTTTGTTGTTATTATTTTTTACGAGTGTGCATTGTTGTTTGGCGCATATTGTTTCTGATTGTACTCAAAGTGCATATATGTACACAGTTACCAAGTTAGCATGACGTTCGTTAGCTATTCTTGTGCAATATTCGTATGACGACCACATCCAAATGTGTGCAAGGCTTGGTTGGCTTTGGTTGGCTTGTATTGTCACTGTCCTCGATATCTTGATTATTGCTTTTGTTCGAACAGTTCGTTCAATAACTTTTGAAATAAACCCGTACTCACCATCACCACCGACACACTCGCACTGAAGTTATAATGAACTTTCCGTGTGTGACGAAACAGTGTACCGCTGCGTATGAGTGACATTTGCATTTGCAGAGATCTAAAATTCATGTGGGTATGTAAATAATTAATTACAAGTGCGTTATTAAATAATATTCAAATAGTATAACCGATCAATATAGGTATATCAATTTAGTAAAAATTAGCCCATTTCAACAATTTCATTTATGGCAAAAGTACTTTCCGAATTAACAAGTAAATAAAAGATTAATATAGGCAAGTTCGAAAAGTTTTTGAAATGCACCTTCGCCACTCAAATTGTTAATTCTGAGTAGCTGATGTTTTTACAAAACTAACGCCAAATAGATTTAGCAGTCATCGCTCAATTAGTTTATTGCCAGATATATGTACCTGAAATTTGTTTCGATTCATGGAGTGGATTATGTCATGAATCGATTAAGAACTTTTTTCTTAATAAAATTTCCTAAAAAACTAAACTTCAAATCCAAGAAAAAAAATATATAAACACATTTGGAAATTATTCAATTTTATGAAAAAATATTTAAAAGCTTCTTTGTTATTAATAAGATTTTTGGTATAAAAAAAATTATAAAACGGGCTTGTAAAAGTTTCCGAATTTGGTTTAAATTTTGTGAAATGAAATTGTTTCGCTAACAGATGCTTCACATTCCGTCTAGTGCGCGAGCGGCCTGCTATGGAGAAAACTACTCTATCATGGACTACTGAACCAAGTACACATTTTTCAAAACTTTCTTGAATAAATCTGCATGTACAATCACTCCAAATTGAGTAACTACCTCACCGAGGTTGATTAGTACCACTGGAGTAAGTCATTCTTACTATTCCGAAGACAAAACTGCAAGTTAAGAAGAATCAAACAGAGGGTTCCGGTTGCTGTCCTCTTTCCGTTACTGCTTGAATTCCATATTTCGACACTCCTTTAACCACACGACGGAATTTTCATCACCTCATACGCAGATAATTGTTAAATATTGACATCACGCGATGAAATCGATCATGTGTTCGAAAGTAAACGAGATAGCTGTTTGTTCCAAGTTTTCTCGCTTCTTCTCTGCAAAGAGCTTGACACTCTCCCCCGCTAAATCGACGGCGACCATACCTACAAACTAGACAAAGGAGTACAGACTAGATCTTAATATCACAGTCGATGGCGTTAAAATTCCGACGGTCAACAATCTAAAACTTTAGGGGTTACATTTGACAGCCTGTGCTCCTTCACTCATCATACGACCGCGATTACTGCCAAAGCACAGAGTAGCAAAAAAATCTTTAAGCCGGTCATAAACTACGCTGCACCGATATGGTCGCCTGGATGCAGAAGTTATTTTCTTTACTAATATTATAGTTATAAAAGTTGTAAACCAGCTTAGATGTAAGTTCATTGTAAGATTTGATTGTTCAGTTCTGAGCCACCAACTCGATTTTAAAGTTTTACGCTTAGAATGTTTTCAATACGGTGTTTACAAAAATTGAAATTTTAAATCGTGCGTTCGAATTTTGTTGCACAACAGAATTGTATCTCCATTAACTACAAAAAAGTTGTTTAAGGCAAGTAAAATAAATTTTTTTTATATGCTAAACTCCCTGTTTATGCCAATATTAAAAATGCTCGATCAGCACGAATTTGTGTCGAAATGTGTACGTACTAGTAGACCTAGAAAGCATGGAAGGCGTTTCAAATATTTTCCGCCACATTTCGTGTTTTAACCGTACTATATTCATAATAAATAAAAAATATGAAGCGACTGTGACCAAAGGAAAGTCAAAGGCGTGATTGGTAACCGTTACCTTTTGATAGAGAGCCATTCCATTTGATTTGATTTCAAAATATAAAATCCCTCAGCCTTTAATTAATGCTCTGACTGCCATGGACCTAGGGCTCACTATTTGTTTTTGTCATAAATAAGTTGGTGCCTACTAAGGCTTTGCTATAATTATTACTCATATATCTATACATAATAAACATATTCTGATACTTATATAAATATATATGTATACATTTGTATGTATATATTTACAAGCTAACAAGAAGCTGATGACAGCACAACATTCCGACTAAGAATTATACAAATTAGCAGAGCTCCCGCTGTGGTCACCATTGGCGCAATGCAGTCTTGCGGTCGAACGGATGGTTTCACTCAGCGCAGCTTGGCACCAAAACTGTCACAATAACAACCACACACAGTGGAAGTGCTAAAAGCAGCAGCAAGTAATATAATAGAGAAAGTGAAAGTAAAGCAAAAAATAACAAAAACGGAATAAAAAAAAAGTTTTGTAAATCAAGTCACAACGCAGACATATACGAGTGAAAGCTATGCTCCTCTCCAACCCGCTGACTTACTTATGGTACAAAACAGATGCTGTTTAAGCAGCTATTTATATTAAACTTACACCTACCTACAACAACAATTTTTTGCTAAAAACAATTGTTCACGCCAATTTACGCACGTTGCCACTGTATGTTTAGTTGCTTTACGTCTACTTTTTTTCCACTCGAATTAGATTTCCATAGAATTTCATTACATTTTCACTTATTTTCTTCAATTCTCACATAACATTACACTTGAAGCGCCTAAAACATTTTCTGCTTAACTGTTCTTGGCTTGTCACTCACTCCCGTCACACCGGCCTCGAGACGCACAAGAACGACAGTTCAGCTTCCGTTCGCTGCGAATACCGCAAATGGACTAATTTCTTTTAGTGAAATTGGGTGTTACTTTTAGTATTTACCTTTCATTTGATTTTTTTGCTTTTTCAAATATATTTCATTATGCGTTTGGATGTGTGTGGGTTTGTGTTAGATTGTTGTAAACAATACCTGCGCATTGGCACCGCCTTTATAATTTCCGTTGTTTTTCGTATGCAAACACAGTGCATCCGGTGTGGCCGAAGCTTTTAACTGGGAGAGCTTTAGCCGAGACACATACCTTAATGGACACAGGGTGTGCTTGATAATTTTCTTGTTACTTTGACAATTTAGAAATACCGGAGAATGTTAATGAATTTATTGAATTTTGTATACCCTTTTATGCTAAAAAAATGCACCTGTAAGGGGTATTATAATTTTGGTGCAGCCGAAATTAAAGTTTTTATTATTATTTTGAAGTATTTTTATTAAAGCTTTATAAAATCTTTTTCTTGCAATAGTAGCACTAATGGCAGTTAATAGTTTCATTGATCACATTGGTGGCGAGAATTTTTTACGAATACATTTAAGTAAATAATTTCTAAAACTAATGACTTGATATACCTTTAATATTATATCATACTTAATACATATAATAAATTAAATCTTTACACTACTATACAATATCTACAGTTGCGTCTTAATTTCGCATACGCCAAGAATTCTTTATCATATCTGCCGCTTTCTCTGCAATCATTATCACAATAGCGTTTGTATGCCCAGCCGGAATAGTGGGCATAATTGAGGCATCGACCACACGCAGCTGTTTAATGCCGTGTACACGTAACTGTGGATCCACTACTGCGGTTGGATCTGTCGGAGGACCCATTTTACAAGTACCTGCTTGATGCTGTAGACTGGAACCATAACGACGCAGACAACATTTCCAGTAAGCCGTACTCTGAAAGGTCAGATGCTCACAGCCCAAGAAGGGTTTCGCATTGAATTTGGTGCCGATGCGACGCATAGCTTTTGTTTGAGCGATTTGAAAAATCTGCAAGGAAATTGAGTTATAAAAGTTCATTAATGTATCGCTATAGAAGACCACTTGCCATTTGTACACCCTCCAACATGGCGCGTATATCATCGGTATCTTCCATATAATTTGGCTCCATACGTGGCCAATGGAAAGGATTTGTGCTGCGCAATGATATGCGACCTCTACTGTTGGGACGCAACAGAATTGGCACCAGACCAAAGGTTTCCTAGAAATAAAGGACGTCATCGGATAGAAATATTAAGTGTCTGAAACACTAACCTTTTCATGGAGACCATCATAAACTTTATAATAAAATTCATCAGGCATGCCGAGTAAGTCACGCAAAGAACCCATATGATCACCACTCAACGAGCCTGCGCCCAAAACAATCTCCATATCGGCATAGTCCTTATCTGCATTATTTACAATGATCACATAAAATGTTCACTAAATATTTTTACCGTTAAAAGTACCCACCAACTGTCGAGTTCGGCGTACGCACAAATGCGAAACCCTCTGCGCCACCGGGTATTGTGTATGGTCCTCTACCCTCCAGTATATAGTGTAGTATGTCGGTAGGATTTATTAGCCGACGATCATTTAAAGTATTTGTGTCATTCACGACAAATACCAGTCCATTCAGCGTCACGTGATCTTGCAGGTTATAACCCACCTGTAAGTCACGCATTATGGGAATGCCTAGTTCTGCCAAATGCTCACGCGGTCCTATACCCGACAACATCAACAATTGTGGCGAAGCAATTGCACCCGCCGAGAGTATCACCTCTTTTCTGGCCTTCACAACATAATGCTGATGTTGTTTCACAAACTCCACGCCAGTCGCAACTTTACTAACCGGATCCACAAGAATACGCGTGACCCAAGATTTCATAGAAATGTGTAAATTTGGCCGCCCAGCAATAGGTCGTATGAATGCTTTACTCGTGCTGCAACGTCGTCCATTGCGTAGATTTGCCTGCGCACGCGCAAACCCCATCAACTTCTCACCATTTGTATCCGTGATTCCGTATCCCATTTCGCGGCTTGATTTCAGAAATGCTTTTAGTATGCTCGACTTGAAGTCGGTATAACTGACATCGAGTGGACCCTTGCGTCCATGGTACGGTGACTTGCGCAATTCTGTGATACCGATATTTTCAGATTTTTTGAAATATGGCAACACCTCATCATAACTCCAACCCAGATTGCCGAGCGCAGCCCAATGATCATAGTCTTTACGATGGCCACGTGTGTATAGCATGAAATTTATAAGGCTAGTACCGCCTATACCACGCCCTTTTGGCCAATTGCAAACCCCTCCTTTAAGACCCTGGCAAGCATTCGGTGTCGGATCAGACTTGTAACCCCAATTGTAGCGTGTCATCTGGGTGAGCGCGGCGGTAAGCGGGACGTCGCTAAGGAGAGAGTGAGGAAAAGAGAAAGAGTACAGTTAGCAAATTCACCCAAGAGATCAGACGAAACTTTTACAGATCCGATAAATTTCAAACTTTCTCGAGTTTTTTAGTACTGAATTTAATCACAAGGTAGATTTTGGACTAAAGGCTCTATGAGACCCCCATTCTATCCATCGAAATATATACATTGTGACGGCTCTTAAAAGACTACCGAAAATCACTAACCTTACTAAAAATTAGAATCCCCAAATATTCTACTTACCTCAAGAACGTTTCCTGATCGCCTGCCTCCAGTAGCAGCACCGTTGCATTGCTGATCTCACTCAGTCGATTGGCAACAACACAACCACCCGAACCAGCACCGATAATTATAAAATCATAAGCCTCCTCGAACGTTTGAGTATCGGGTAGGCGCGTATTGAGTAGTGAAGTCTCGAAATTGCGTGCCAAATCGACGAGTGGCTGAGCATTCAAGAGCTGCGGCAAAGTGGCAAGCCAGAGACTGATGCAGCTCCAACGGATGTGTGGCATATACATGCTAGCTATAATCGTAATGGATGGAAGAGCGAGTGGCAGCAACTGTGGCCTGGGATTGAGGTAAGAAGAGGAGGGTAAGCGGTATAAACAAAACATTGCATTTGATTGTGCAAAATAAAATTGTGAAAACACTCTTTGCTGTTCGATTTCATACATATGTACATATATGTGCATATAAGTGGCACAGCTACTTAGCGTTAGGGTGCTAATTGTATGGGCTACTTATATTTCTAAATTAAGTTCTATTCACCTTCTAAGTGGTGTTAAGTATACAAACAGCGCATGGCCTTGAGCATCCTTTATTGCACAATTTCTTGTTCTGGTTATTTTCGCATTTATTTTTTATTTTTGCAATATTATATAGATAAATGCAAACGCTGATTGCGAAGTGTTGACCATGACCACGCCAACTTGTGATAATTAATTCCATTAAATTGTATCTTACTTTAGATAAATCAACCAGCCATAAGAATATTAGACTAAAATTTGGCACAAATATTGCTTCTAATTTTCGGAAACTCCTTGCTAAATAATGTCGTAGTCGGACTTTATCATTTTAGACTTGATACCCAATATAAGGACCTCAGTAAATATGACTGATTTTATACCAAATATATAGAAAAATTTACGAAACATTTCAAGGAAATTAAGTATGCATCTTTCCCTGATTATAATATGTTGCGGCGATAAAAAAGTTTAAAATTTATTCAGTACTTCCTCTAGACACCACTTGTATACCTAATGTAATGATTTTTAAATTTCCGGTAGGCTTTGTACCATCGTCTTAACAAAATTACTTGTAAATTCTTTCTTCGACACCAAACGTGGTTTCAGACAAAAAAACTCCTAAAAAGCCAATAAAATAAGTTCTTTTGAATCCATTAACAATTCGAAAGATTCTTGACCTTGAAGCAACTTTTAATAGTTTGGCTCTTATACCACCAACTTGGCAACCGGTTTGCAACAGCTCAAGTTCAAAACCGACCGAATGCAACGGACGCCAACTCATAAGCATTACAACAACAAGCGAGTATCTCCAAAACTATAAGTTAAACGAGAATTAAAGTAAAAGGAAAATATAAAAAAAATCAAATCGACAATGAACTGCATACGAAACGGCAATCAAAACAAACTGAAATGGCAAAGACCGGTTCAGCGTCGTTTTCAGACAAATAAAACAAAAATTGGCAAAAAGCGAACGACAACAACAAAACCATACTCGTTATACCTATATAGGCTTGTACGTGCAATTTTTTTGTAAAACAACCGTTTTGTAGCGCTCATTATCGACACAGGTATGTATATATGTCGGTATATACACACTCGTACATACAGATGTAATCGATTGAGCCATTGTAATATTTTAACCAAAAAAGCCGACAATGCTTGAGTGCGAGACACTTGCAAGCTTGCGCTTCGTTTTGCTTTGTGTTGTTGCAAATTTATTGCGGATTTTCGCTTTTATTTACGCATTTTTCTCGAACGCTGAAGAGCGTAGCACCGCTCGCAATATCTGAGCTTTTATTGGTGTCAAAAATCACTTAGCCCGATGATTAAGTTGACCATGACTGAAGCGCCTTGTAATGAAATGATATGGGTACTTGAGCTCGTATTTGATACTTCATATTTATAATACTGACATTTTAATTTTCTGCAACAAAGTTAGAAAAAGTATTGAACTTTTTGATAAATGAATTGCGGTGCAGCAAACTTATTTATACAGGGTGATGCAATATTTGTATAATTAACTAACATGTATTATTTAAATAATATATTAGTAATAAAAACTTAAAAATGTATGCTTCTAATTATTAAGCAAATAAGGCTAAGTTCTAGCAAAGGTTTTCATTAAAATATTTTCTAAAGCTTTGCTAACAAGATGTTCAAGATTTTTCGTAAAAGATCAGAGTTCCTGCGCTGGTAACTCCAATATAATATATATTTTCGATACCTTGCAGTCATGTAAAACTTAACTTATTTGCTATTGAAACACCCTATACAATTGGAATGTATTTGATGTCATTGTTTACAGTAAATGCAATTAAATTGATAATGTATTAGTAATGCAAACGTGCATGCGTGCTAATGGTGCGCACGCGCATCACACTTAAAATGTTGGAAATTCTCATTAGAACCGAGCAGAACATATGCATGCAAATTGACTGAAGTAGAACTACAAAGTTGCACAATTTATTGAAAAAAGTTTTTTTTATGCTGTCATTCAATATTTTGCAGTATTTCAGTATTATTCGGAGATTATAGCGAGGTTTTGCATAACTATCCATGCGAAATTTCGTGAAGATTTCTTATAAAATAAAAAAAGGTTTTCCATACAAGGGCTTGAATTGGATAGGTCAGTTTGTACGACAGCTACATGCTATATCGGCGGTCCGATATCGGCGGTTCCGGCAAATGAGCAGCAAATATGTGTAATATGTACTAAGCATTAAAACAAGGGGCATGGACGCTAATTCTCCAGCCCGGGGGAATTTGATTCAATAAAAGGCAAGGCAAATTGCTTAAGGCTGGCTACAGACTCGTAGGCATCTCTGGACGCAGGGAGAGAAGAAATTGACCTATTATAGGTCAATCTTGAAAACCTTGCTCTGAAATAAAGCGAAAGTGGTCCCGGGGCAAAGGACAAAATCCATGATAGACAGGGGGAGTGTTTTAGTGGCTATACCACTTATGTAGAATGACAAATCGTATATGGTATATGGTAAACAAACAAAATCTATATCAATCCGATATCTGCAGTTCCGACAAATGAGAAGCTTCTTGGATGATAAGGGACGATTGCTAATTTAGTTGGATTTCTCAAAAACTCAGGGACTATTTAACGTATAAGCAGAATGATAAACGGACAGACGGACATGACTAAATCAACTCAGATCGTCAATCTGATAATTTATACTTGTATATATATTTTAGAGGGCATTTATTTGACGTATTCTTCTGGGTGTTACAAGCGTGGGAAAATTAATATCTGTTCTTGATTAATATCCAAAATTTTCAGAACATCACTATGAAATAGTATGATTATATGATAAAATTATTAAGAAATATGCATCAAAATTAAAGAGTATTATTCTCAGCACTAGGTGAGTATTAGGATATCACAATAATTATTATGAAAAGTTCTAAAAAATTAAAAACTGGCATGTTTTCCACATGAATAATATTAACATATAAAATAATTTAAGAAAACGTTTATTTAATGAAAATATAAGATATTCACCACATGGTGAGTTACTATAAAATGTCTAAAAAATAAAAAAAATCATGTTCACCACGTGGTGGTTTTTAACCATATATAAATCAACTTTTATAAGGTATAATTACTACTATCTGATTTTTTAAAAACCCATTCAAGATTCTATATTTGTCAATAATAAATGAAGTTGAATAAATCCAGATCTGCGTCAACACTATTATAATATTCGCTTCATACACATGTTTGGAATTTTAATGTCATTTAATTGGTTCAATTGACAAATTTACAAATGCAAAACTGTACATTATAGACAACGTAAAGATTTGTTTTATAAATTTACCCATTTTTTATTTTTGTATTGAAGTTCTAATTTCTTTCGCTTCTATTTCTAGCTCACTTTCCTACTCGTAAGCCGCATTTTATTGCTATTCTAGACACACTGCACGCTTAACGTCATGAATGCCCGAATTTACAGTTGCGGTTAACTATTTGAATGGTATGTATTGTACATAAATAAAGTAACAATAAATTAATTAGTGTAGTGGTGTTAAAAATATAAAATTTTTCTGAAATAAATGTAGCAACAATTTTATCTATGAATTGCTGTCTCATCCAACATAAAATCCATTAGTGTGTAAGTATTTAATGATCATCTCCTTGTTAAATTATCACTTAATAAATGTATTTTCTGCCACATCTAATATCTACTTTTTTTAATGGTCGTTTATAACGCCGCGTTCTCATAATTTCTTATGATAAAGCTATAAAGATATGTTTCCCATAATCCTTATTAGGACCGCCAAAATTAATAAATTCATTTATAGATCTTTTGTAAAGGAGTAAGAGAGATAGCGCTAGCGCGCGATTTGCTCGTGTCTGCAGTTTCAGAATTACTCTTTCGATCGTGCACTCGGCACAGCACAACGGAGAACTGCAGGGAATTGTAGTCAAGTCGGCGGTAAATTTCTTACCATTTGAGGACAACCTAACTCCAAAACGTTGTGTGAAAGTTATTGTTGGTAAATTGTATGCAACATTTGACCACAAGTGTTGTTGACAATTTTGATGCGATTTCCGGTGGTAGGGTGGGGTGTTTGATATATTTATTATGACAATCAATCGATCTGCAACTATTTATGAGAGGAGAATTATAAAAATCTAGTGAAAAGTTATAAAGTAATAGTAAAAGACACCCCATGCTTTTTACACTGAATTGAATTATTCTCTTAATAACTTTAATTTTTTATAATTTTATTTTAAAGTAAATTGTTATGATATATTATAATATAAGCTCTTTATAATTAAACATTATTTTCTACTTTTTAGTTCGATTAGCTATAAAAGCGTGGTTTTTTAGTTTTTTAAACTATTATTTTTTATTTTGAAAATTTCTTCCAAATTTTTTTCTTTCGATTTTTTAAATTAAACCATTTTAAAAAGTATCATTTGTTTTTATTATTATTTAAATAAAATAGTAATAATTTTTCAGAAAAAAATTTTTAAAAAATTTTAAGGGGCACACCTAGAACAAAATTTAAAAGAGCGATTTTTTTCAATTTCGATAAGTTATACCTTAAAAAAATAACTTGCAGCAATTTTAAATCGATATTTTAAATAGCTCCTGAATTGGAGCCATCTATACAGTAGCCGCACAACATATTTCAAATATTCTTGATTAAGTTAAGAGGTCGATTCTAACAGCGTTGTGTTAGAGAAGGTAATATGTTATTACTCGGAGACAAAATCGATCAAAAATTTGGCCAGCAAAAACCACAAAAATGTTGGGTAAAATTCAAATTTTCTGTTTAAAACCTTGTCATTGTTTCATCGAGAAGGTCGTAATCCCTACAGTATTGGAGGAGCTTCGTTCGTCTGTCTAAAGAGTTGCTCCTTTGTCGAAACCACTGATATCGGATCACTATAGCAAATATCTGCCATACAAACTCAACGATTGGAATAAAGTGTTTATATGGAAAGCCCTTTCATTTGATCATCAAGATCAACATCGACGAATTGAAATAAGCCATGAAAATACTTAGCGTAAAAACTGGAAAAAAATAGCAAGTTATCGAGATGTCTGGAGGTCACACCTGCAGCAGGCCAAAGCTCACAAAGAGCTGTAGTGCCGAAAGATCATGATCATTTTAAAGAAGTATTTTTCTTTGTTAATTGCTTACAATACTTTTTTAACTTCCCGCTAAGAAAATGGAAAATTTTCTAAAAATCGGGAAGATATTGGTTTCACCCCATTTTGCAAAAATCGAGTTCTCAACAGATCTCGATGTTCTGAGGGTCGAGGAAGCTTCCCCGAACATTTCTACGATGAGGTCCGTATGTCTGTATGTATGTGTGGATGTATGTGTGTGTGTGTGAATGTATGTGACCCTCTTATAACTATTAAACTGCTCAACCGATTTGAATAAACTAAACGGCATTCCAAAGGGTTTCATTGCACTTGAATTTCGTGTAAGTTTGGACCCAATCGGACCAGTAGATTTCGAGAAATCTCAAAAATAAAAATTTTGAAAAATCGTTTTTTTCGAATTTTTTCCAAACGACTTGACCGATCGACACCAAAAACTAATCAGTTCTAAACCTTGAAGAAACACATCGTTTGCCGCAAACCGGGTCGAAATCAGTTGATTTACTTGCTAGATATCGAAAACGAAAAATTTCGAAGAGCTCAAAAGCAGTGAAAAAAGCGAAATTTGAACGTTAGCGTATGAAATTAGAGGGAAGTTGCAGGGATGGCCCTTGAGGCCAACCGTTTTCCACATTTTTTTACTACTTTTTATACATTTTTTTTTAATTTTCTATTTTAAGCTTAATTTAATTAATTATTAATTATTGAAATATTCTGTTTTAAAATTTTTTTCTATTTATTTTGAATGTCAAGCATTTTTTTGTTTTAATTTCACAATTTATTTTTAAATTCTTAGAAAATTTTAAAAAAATATTTAATTTTTAAGTATTTTAGAAAACTTCTATAAGCAATAATTTTTTTTTTTTTCACGAAGCTTCAAATAATGATTAAAATATTTAGTTTTTATTAAATTAATTCATTATTTAATTATTATATTCATAATCATGTGAACGCTTTTTATTATAATTATTATTGTTTTTGCTAAATCATTATAATTATTTTTATTAATTTCTTCGTTTGTACGTCTGTATATATATTTAAAAGCGCGGTTTTTTCTACAACAGTTATTGCATATCACTCTTCGCGTCAAACTTCTCATTGAAAAATCACTTTTAACTATTATTTTATATTTTCTATAAACACTTAGAATTAGCTCAGCCAGCTCGTAAATAAATTATTTATATTTACAATTAATTCATTTCTTGCACTTACTTTGTTTTATATCGACTTTTCGCATATAATGTTATAATTAATTTATTGTTTCACTTGTATGCTTCTTTTATAAATATATTATTTCTAATAAACCACGCATCATGCACAAAAATACACATTTATCAATAAATCGCACCAAATATTTTTAAATACGCGTTACCTTTGTCGCATTGGCGTTTCGTTTCGTTATTAGTGGCAAATAAGCTCGCTGCGCAGTGGAGAGTGCATGCACAAACGTTACACCTTCGACCGTTCGATTGCTATTGATCGCTGTGGTCAGCGGCATTTGCACTCGTCACCTCGGTTGCGCCAAAGCGGTCGGTCGGTGCGGCGTTCAGTGTCTGGCGGTAGCGCAGTGAACGTAATCATCATCATTTCAACTATATTTTTAACTGTCTGTGTATGTTCGTGTGCGTGAAGAAGGAGAGTAATTTTGACAACCTTTACTAATTCGGTGTCCATCACCTAATTGTGTGGTTATTGTTGGGATTTGCAACAATTATGACAGTGCAAGATTTTCAAGTTCAAATCCCAGCATTATTGCACATAATCATTTGATTTCGTAGCTGGACACAATATGCGCCGCCGCGCGCAGCACTACTTCGTCAAAAGCTCGTTTGTTGTTGCGCTAATATAATTATAATACTACTCTGCAACCACATATACATATATAGAAATGATTCATTGAATAGTAATAATAAAGTTTGATAATTCAATAAAAAGATTTAATTCTAAAAAATATTTTGCGTAAATATTTTAGTTGGTATAAAATCTTTTCGCACATGTATGCAGATATGCATATCCAATTATGAGCAAAACAATGCCGTGAATAGTAGAATTTGAGAGTCACCATAGAGTTGGAGTTAATAGTGTAATTTTTCACTCCACAAGACCAAAACTCGATTCCCGTTATAGAACAGTGCAGAAGCCTTTGAAACTAGTAAAAAGAAAAAACGTTCATTACGGTCGCATCGAAGCTATAATACCCTTCGCAAATACAAAAGATTCCTTACAAGAACTTTGATTGGTCAGTTTGTATGGCAGCTATATGCTATAGTGGTTCGGTCTAAACAATTTGTTAGAAGATTGTACTGTTGCCTTAGATAATAATCTATACAAAATTGAAGATATCTTGTCAAATAAAAAAGCTAATTATACAAGGACTTCCGTTCGTTAATTTTGTGTGGCAACTATATGCTATAGTGGTCCGATTTCGGCGAATCTGACAAATGCGCTTCTTGGTGAGTAAAGTACGGGTACAAAATTTCAGATCGATATTTTAAAAACTGAGGGATTAGTTCACACGGCTAAATTAACTTACCTCGTGACACTGCTCATTTATGTATACTTTTTATAGATGGGAAGTGTTTGAATTTTTTTTAGGTTCAATAGATCATTTGGGCTTAAAATTTTGGCAACTAAAAACGATACTAAACCTCGAATGCAAGTTGGTGTCTTTTCACCAAAATTAGCTACCAGAATCGCCCTCCGACTACTAGACCATTGCAGTGTCTTCCAAACGGAGATCAAAGCAAATAAAGAAAGCTGACAAAGAGTTTGCTCAAAACAAGAAATATATTTATATATATAGATAGCCAAGCTGCTTTGAAATCACTGAAGTCTCTTAATCAAAGATAGTGAAAGTGCTTTGACGCTGTTAGCGTTAAACCTGAAATGGGGTCCAGAACATAGGGATGTTCCTTTCAACTGTAAAGCAGATAAACTAGCCAGACCCCACCCCGCATTTAGACTCCGATAGGAGGGAATATATATGCCTTTGGATACATTTAGATATTTAATCGACAAACATGTTATAGATATAGCTGAGTATCGGTGAAAACAATCCCGGACTTTCACAACAAGCAAACAAAGGTGACATGAATCGACTATGGGCCGCACATGCCGACTATTAAAATTCAAAAAGCATAACAGAAGAACGCTAGTATACTAAAGATACCATACAATGACTATTGTAGAAGCTGGCAATAGAAAGAAGAAGAGAGAGAACATATTTTATATTTGTTTGGGAAAAGAATCACAACTCTCGGCCGAGGGTTTCTTGGCGATATCTCGGAACTTACACATTTACAACTCCTAAAAGCCTAGGTGCGTCGTCAGACTTCCATCCTACCTACCTACAGTGATTAAAAAAGTATATATTTAGGTAAATGTTGCAATAACAAAACTATTGGAATTAAAATAAATTTTAAAAAATAAAACCAAAGCGGATTTCTTTGCAAAAGTGTTAATTTCGAATTGCTGTTGTTGTTGTGACGCATAACAAAACATAAGTGAGCGCAACTATTAACACTTGGTAAGAGGCAAAACCCAAAATTAGAAAGAAAAAATAATAATGACTAAGAGTAAGATAAATAAAATTTAAATACAAAACAAAAACAAAGTAACTGGTGACAAAGGCACAATCACACGCTGAACGCCAACTCTTAATGGTTAGTGACTTTGCATAAATATTTTAGTTCGAACGCTTATTTTCATTTTGTGATTTTCATCGATTATTTGGCCAAACTGCAAATAAATTTTACGAGATTCCTCTTGTTTCACTATTTTTTATACCACAACCAAGATTACATGGTCAGTTTTTGGTTTGATTGTGAAAGTGCGGAGCACAAAGCAGCTCTGGCCCACTTTTTGCCAAATAACACACGCACACTTAGTTAAAGGGGCAGCGTGGGCAGTACAAAATACAAACAAATAAAAGAAAAAAATAATAACAAAAAATACATAGTCACAAATTTATGCAAATCTTTTAGTTGATGCTTCTGCAGCTGCTGGGAATCGGTAGGGTGCCACGAGCTGGTTGCGCGAACGCGTCATTCGAACACGCGTTTATACATATGTGTATATCGCATGTTGGTATGTGACCTTGCCGTAAGCGCCAATAAGCCAACAACAAATGATGAGACTACAACAATTACAACACTCATTAAACTAACAGCAACGGCTATTAACCATGACCGTGAAATTTTCGCTCATACCGCGTGTCTACATGTGTGTGTGTGTTGCTTAGTCTTAAATCTCAATCTGTCTAGCCGGAAGTGAATAATCAAGCGTGGTTCTTCTACTTGTTACCCAAAGCAAATACAAAAGACCACAAATAAGTATGACTAAATGGGACCACTTAAGTGGGATTTTCACGTCTAGGCGCTAATGAAATTCAACCAATAACGTTTATTGACACCACCGAGAGTGTTCGGTAGCAAATAACAACTATCAAATTTCATTCATAACAGATCTAGACTTAAATTCAATATATATTTTGCCAAAGTTCGTTAGTTTAGTGCATATAGTGCGTGACTACCACAGGGCACGTTGTGTGTTCGAACCCCAACATCAGCCATTTCCCATATTATATAAAAAAAAGTGTTTGAAATGACTGTTGATTTGCAATCACTATTGCACCTCGACTTATAAATTCGCCAAAGTAGCCCATAATTATTCGAAGTCGGTTTAAAAATTTCTGGTTGCCCAGCAAAAGCTCGGCCAAGCATCTGTTAATGTGTAAGTTTTCCAAATATCTAATTTTTTTTGCGGCCACAATGCGTGGAAGCAAACAATGTAATTCAGCAGCAAATCACAACAAATATTAGTTTAGTGGTGTCAATGACTGCAAATTGAAATAAAAGTCTTGTTATCTACTTTAAAAGCGTCTACTTTAAATAAATATAAACATAAATATATATAATAATAAATATAAATCTGCAATCTTAGTTTAAGTTGGCATGTGTTTGGCTGCTACCACACTAACGGTAAATCCCTAGACCGAAACATTTCTCCCATTTTGTAAGACTTGAAAGTAAGTGGACTCATCGTAGATGGAGTTTTCTAATTTTTCTAATTTATGATATATTTTTAAATAGGTCTCTTCTAATAAAAATAGCTGTGAGTTACCATTTGACAATGTTCGTTTCGAAAACAGAAACAAGTCACAGGGAGCCAAATTTGGCGAATATGGTGGCTAAACAATCAAATCCGTTTATTTACGACGAATTACTTCATGTAGATGCCTCAAAACGGCCAAGGAGTATTCCTTATTTACGGTTTGATCCTGTGGAACGAATTCGTGGGCAACCACAGCATATAATCAAGGCAAACAAAGAGCAATATCTTGATTTTTTACCGACTTTGACGTGATATTTTCGGTGTCGTAAAATTTTTGGAGCGCCATTCGCTAGATTTTTGCACATTTTCGTCGTCATGTTCTTGAACTCAAGTGTAGTCACTACTAATTAAGCGTTTGATTAATTTAGGGTTCTCAGATACGTTGTCATGCTTCTCGTTTTGCAACCTCTACGCAACGTCGTATTTGCAAAAGTTTCGACTGTTTCGGTACGAATACGGTATTGATACGCTTTATACCCAAAACATTAAGCAAAATGTGTTGAGTCGATCCATAAGAGATGTTGAGATCCTCTGCTAAGTCTCTGATACCAACATGACGATTTTCAAGCACTACATATTATATGGACGACTCGTATAAGACAAGTTATCGATGACTTCACGACCTTCACGGAATACTTTGTTTCATTCAAATACTTGTGTTCGTCATAAAGTAGACTACTCAAAACATTTTCAACGATTTCTTAGCCGTGATTCCATTGGAAACAGAAAATTTCAATCTCGTTCTTCAATTTGCATTGATTTCCATGATAAAATGGCCAGGCAAAGAAACTTCACACGAACATAGAAAAAGTTTGAACTAATCTACGAAAAATCTATTCGGCTTGCGCGCGTAGTATTATTGGATTAGTTTCAGTCAAATTTGGTACTTACAATACATATATCTAAGTCTATGTTGCATTTGCGAAATTTCGCTTTAATATATGCCAACGAAGAAAAATTACTCAATCTTCTTTGCCCTCAAGGTGATAAGCCGTCAACTTCCAAAGAGCTCAATTCCCCAAAAGCTCTATCAAATAGTAATAAGTGTCACACAAATCCAGAGGCTCCCCCTAATAACTTAGTAGCATCTGCTAAAAATTTGGTAGTTATTCCACCTAAAAAATCTATATATTTTTCTAGACTTGCCAAAGATACCTTGGTGCAGCACATTAAGTCTTCGTCGCGTTTAAAAATTGATGATATCAATATCCGTAAATTTAACTTCAATTGTGATAGAAGTATATCATCATTTAAAATAGACGTTTTTCTTGAAACATTCGAAAAGATCTTAGATAGCTCATTCTGGCCGCAGTTTTAAAACGTTGGGGATTTCCAACTTCCTATTAAATTTTAAGAAGAATTCGTCGGAAGAATAACTTTTTAGACTTATGTACCTTCCACGCAGACTTTTTCTAATGGATTTTCTTTTTGTCCGTATGTATTTATATTTTATCTATACAAGTATGTTACTGTCGACTATTTCATCACTTTTATTTTCATAAAACTGCGTATTTAATGCCGTTTAATGAATATCAAATAAATTGGTTTTTATAAAAAGTGTAGAAAGTTATTTTTTCCAAAACTTTATTTTGTTGGTACCTTGTACGCAGACTTTTTCTGCTCAGTGTATATTAGAAATATTATACGTTAAACTATAGTATTTCCTATATTATACATTCGGTTAATTTTGCTGAGATATCTTTTATATTGACTGATATATTGAAAATCTTTTATTAGGTATATTGGAAATTGGGGTAATATTGACCCGATTTTATCTATTTTTTGCATCACAACATACTATTAACAGAATAAAATACAACCTGAGTGGCATTAAGGTACCTTACATACCATCACCAACATAACATACGTGGAGTATAATCAACCGGAAGTTTGAAAATTCTGTAATTTGTTATATGAGGGCTAGGGCAAGTGTTCACCCAGAACAAAAGTTAGGCACAAAAATGAAGCATTATAAGGAAAATACATACATTTAATTTTATTGAAAAAACTCACTTATTAGCCGATATATGCGGTATGAAGTCAACCGGAAGTTCGAAAATATTTCGATTAGGTATATGGGGGTTAAGGAAAGTATTCACCCGATTCAATCCATTTTTGACATACATGCATATTATGATCAGAAAGAGAGATCGCAATAATATATCTTACAGATTGACCGTTATATCAGGTAAGAAGTTAGCACCAGACACTGGACTCCTCATATTCCGTAACTGAGAGCTTGAACAGTTATGGTCCGATTTTGACAATTTTAAAAATTGAGATGGTATACCTCAAAAGCACTATTTGTGCAAAGTCCTAATATATCCTTTGGTGCTTGATTTGTATACTGAAAAGTGAAAGAATCATATGGAATTTAAAATTGGGCTATATAGGAAATGTGCGTGGTTGTAGTCTGATTTCTCATTGTGAGATGGGATTTCTAAAATCATTTTATGTACCAAATTTTTTTGAAATTGATCAAGTAGTTCCGAAGATATATGATTTCGCCTAAATGTGGGTGATGCCATGCCCATCGTCCATATTTACAACGATTACTCGTGCCCTACTGGATGTAAAATTGAATGTCTCGGATTTATTATATTTATGTTTATATAACCCTATATCTAACTCGATTCGTTTTAGCTGATATGCACAACCGTTAGATGAACAGAACTATTATACTCCACTTGCACCGAAGTTATAATACACTTTATAAATACAAAAGATTATTTCCACGCACTTGATTTTGATCGGTCAGTTTGTAAGGCAGCTATGTATATACAATAGCGATCCGAACTGAACAATTTTTTCGAAGAATACACCATTACTTTTAACAATAATACAGGCTAAATTTCGTCAAGAATCGCGTCAAATAATAAAGCTTTCCATAGAAGCACTTGATTTAGATCATTCAGTTTGTATGGCAGCTATATGCTATAGTGGTCCGATATCGGCGATTACGACAAAGGAGCAGCTTCTTGGTGAGAAAAGAACGCGTGTTAAAGTTCAGGTCGTTATCTTAAAAACTGAGGGTCCCTTTCTCGTATATATAGATATATTTTATAGCGTCTCCGACGTTTCCTTCTGAGTGTTACAAACTTCAAAATAAATTTATAATAATTAAGATGTATTTCATGTTCTTTTTAATTGTTACACTATGTATATGTATATCCATAAGCGGTCGATATTAGGTGTTATAGAGAGTTGAATTTTTAATACTCCATAGCCTATACCCAAAGTTTGTTTGCATTAGTTTGTTGCTATTTCTTTTTCTTTATAAATGCATATTTCTTGTTTCTCGTAGCCAGTCTAACAATTTACAGTAATTTTTGGCTTATTAAATCACTAAAGTTCCATCGGTTTGATGTCTCAATGATTTCATACAACAAAACCACAGAAACAAAAACATGCATTAACAGCAACATAACATTTACATTTGCATTTACAAGCCATCACACGCAGGTATATTTAAATTTGAAACACCAACATGCCACCGACAACAACAACACGCAACTGACCTGTGATGAATTATGCGCAATTGCATTTTGATGGCCAATGCCAAGTGGTTGGTCGATTTGTTTGCTGCTGCGCCAAGGCATTAGACATTGTCAGTAATTTTAATGCGTTTTGTTGTTGTAATTTGTAGCAACCATTTTCGTGTATATAATTAAATGTAAATATATTGTTTTCGCATCGACTATAAATTATCTTGTAGTATTGTTGTTGTAATGAGTATGCACTTTTAAGTGTTACCTGCGCAAATGCAAAGCAATTGCGTAGCAAATTCGCGAATTGGAGCAAAACAAATCGCAGTTATTTTTTTCTTTTCTGTTTTCAGATTAGTTTATTTGGTAAATTCATTATAACTACAAAGTTATATATATAAACACATATCTATGTATATATATATGGTATATATTTACATAAATTTATACATAAATAAAAAATGTCAACTGAACTTTGGTACATATTTCCAAAATTTAGATATTTTGCTCGTAGTTCGTAAGCTCAAAAGTGTGAAAAGCGCTTAATTGTGTACTTACAAAAGCGGAGGTTTGTATTTAAGGGGCGCTCCTAGTGTAAAATTCAAAAAACAAAGAAACAAGAATAAACGTTAACCTCTTATAATACCCTTTCCAAATACAAAAATATTTTTTAGAAGAACTATGATCGGTCAATTTGTATAGCACCTATATGCTATAGTGATACGATCTGAAAAATTTCCTCGGAGATTGCACCTTTGCCTTAAATAATAACCCATGCCAAATTTCGTGAACATGTCTCGCCAAATCATAAAGTTTCCCACAGAAGTACTTGATTCCGATCGTTCATTTTGTTTGGTAGCTATGTGCTATAGTGGTCCGATTTCGGCGGTTCCGACAAATGAGCTTCTTGGTGAGAACACTACAGGTGCAACATTTCAGATCGATATCACTGAGTTCGCATATAAACAGATACAAGTAGACAGACGGATATGGCTAAATCAACTCAGCTTATCATGCTGATCATTTATGTAAAAAAGAAGAGTGTCTAAAAACTCTATCAGTAATTAAGATGTCCCAGAAAAAGATCAAAGATCTTGATGCAATATTACCAAGTGCCGTATTCAAACATGATGCCATGAAGTTGAAGATCGGCACCGATCTCGTCTTTATGTCACTATAACATGTATAAAATCAAAAGACATTATTGGTCCATACTTTGCTTACACTGTATATCGTTGAGCGAAATTTCATAAGGTTAAAAAAAAATGAGACCTGTACGTAGTTAATGACATGTAAGACCTAAAACGAGATATATGGTACGCCACCCCGAAAAAATGTGAAAGCGGCCGCAGGGTGGGTGCGGGTCCTAAGATGAGAGTTTTTTAGTGAACTGCAAGTGGCAGTGATGACATAATGATGATACGGAAGGCATTTCTTTCATCCTATCCCGGCAAAGAATCATCGTTTTTTTGTAATCTTTTGGACTCCCTCGTTAATTTCAATCATCTAGTTTGCAATACATCTTGTATAGCTTTAAAAAAAGACACCCGTTGTATTTCTGCGAGTATTGGAGGCGGCATTCTGATGCTGCCTTAACCTAAAATTTGTTCATTTCTCTGCGATCTTTAAGCCAAGCGTCAACACATCTAACAAAGTATGAGATGAATTGAGACCCAAGTCACCCCAACCACATGTTATGAAAAAGTATCTTGTTGTATTGTTTATTTTCAAATATTTATTTATAGGTATTTCGAAACTTATTTCGTACAACTCCTACAATACGATATATATGTATCTGTATAAGTATATAATATGTATGTATGTATTATAGTTAAGAATATATTTATATTAACTTAGTTAATTGGTATTTTATTCTTAGTGTTTTATTGTGAAATTGCTTTTCGTAAAAGTTGAAATGCATGGCGCATATGCTTTAGCCGACATACTTGTATGTTTGTATGTACGAGTATATTTTCTATACATTCAATTGTATATATCTCATATTTTTTAGTTCATAAAAAGTTCTGGCAAAACATTTTCCTCGAACTCATGCCAAACATCGCTTGCTTGCCAACACTTGCAGTTATAAAAAAGAGAATTACAAATACATTTTATAATATGAATTATTTATAAAAATTATTTTATATTATACGAATATAAATACATATATATAAATATAGTTAGTGTACGTTATTTTATCAAAAGATATATACGTGAAAAACGAATTTAAATACGTACATACATACAATTATGCCAATTACAATAAAATTTAGTCATTATATTTTTTTTTTTTGTACAATAAAAAATTTTGTTTGATTTCTTTCAATCAAACCTTAGTTGTCGCAAATTTAGTATACACAAGTTTCTATTGAAGTATTTATGCTTTTAAAAAATAATTTATTTTGATTTAATAAATCTTTGCCTTTTTTGGAATTGCTTAATAATTTAGTTTCTTTATTTATTATTATTATTTTTGGATTAGTTTTTTTTTTTTTTTTAAATCTAAGTGCCGAAGAGTTGTTGAAAACCCAATTTGTGAAATGATAGAGTTAAAATAAAAGATATTATGGGACATTATAAAACGAGCTACTTTTTATACTATCAAATATACATTTACTATATTTTAAATAAAATAAAAATATTACAAATGCAAAAACAAAAATTGTTTTATGCAAATAATTTATAAGAGCTATATTGACTCTTATTTTAATAAAAAACAAAAAATTTGTAATAAACAGATATATATATAGATAAAATAATAAAATAATAAAAAAAATACAAACAATTCCTAATAAGAACTTTGATCGGTAAGTATGTAAGTCAGCTAAAGTAGCAGTATGCTATAGTGGTCCGATCTGAACAATTGTCGCGGAGATTGCATCACTGTCATAGAGAATAATTCATGCCAAATTTTTTGAAGATATCTCGTCAAATTAAAAGGCTTTCCATACAAAGCTTCTTGTGGAAAAAAGTCCGTGTGCAAAATTTCAGATCGATATCTCAAAAACTGAGGAACTAGTTCCTATATATACAAACAGACGGACAGACATACGGACATCGCTAAATCGACTTAGCACGTCACGCTGATTATTTATATCTACACTTTATAGGATCTCTGCCATTTCCGTTGGTTGTTGCAAAAATCGTGGCAAACTTATTATACCCTCGGGATATAAAAAATAATAATTACTACGTACATAAATTTTGCCAACTTAAAAATATAATATAAATATATTCTGCTTTCGAAAAAATGGTATTTATGTGCAAAATTCTGTATACAATTTAAACTAAAAAACAAATATACAAAAGCATGCTCGTCCTCAAGAAATAATAAAAAATCACAAGATTTTTTTTTCAAAATAATTTTATTAACGTATATACATATATTAAAGTAAATAATTTTCGACCTAAAACTAAAACTTAAAATAAAGATTTTAGCGCAAGAAAATATAAATTTATTTAATGTCTTATTGAACTTAATGTTTATATAAACTCAATGAAGTTAATAATACATTAATTAAATATATTTTGAACTAATGACTTCTAACAGCTAAAATTATATGGTAACAAATGAACTTTAAATGTGCAGTTGAATTTACAACAAATTTTTTAAATTTTAAAATTATGCAAATTTTTAAATTTTCTTATTTTCTTATGATCTTAACATAATATAGTCTGTTGGAAATAATGTTTTTTAGTTTATTTTCATTAACAATTTTTGCTTCCAAACAGGACAGGAAAATAAAAAAAGAATAAATATTATTTGTTTATTTTTAAGGAAAACGATTTTGAACCCATTCTTTATTCAAGAAAAATCAACAAAACAAAATTCTTTTTTTATTTAAGAAACATCAAATAAAATTTTACCAAACATTCAACTAATAAATAATTTTTTTTATTAAAAAAAAAAACACGTCTTCAATTAATGTTTATATTATAAAAATTTTAAACTCAGTTTTGTGTAAACAATACTTTCTAATTTCTTATGAACATTTTTTATTTTATGTCTAAAAAATAAACTTCTGTGATTATTATAATGAGGTGTTTTATAAATCGAAATTTTAGTGTTGGTCTTGACACACAATCAATCTTAAATTTCTCTTTGACATATAGATTTTTAAAATAAATTTACATGATTTAAAATCAGTACATCTATGTATACCACTTAATTTAATAAGTGCAAGAAGCTGGGTTTTTATTATTCAACTTTTTTTTTTATTAAAATTAAATACATCTAAATATTTAATTATATTTTCTTTTTCTTTTTTTTAATTATGTTAAAACATTTTAAATACTCACATTTTGCGCTAAGCGGATAATCAAACGAAAAACTTATACAAAATTTTAATTAGTTTATAAATTAATTTTATTTAATAACTAATATACAAACTAAAATTATATTATAATGACAAATTTTATAATTTAATGCATATTTGGTAAGTTTTTAAGTATTATTTATTACAAATAATAGTTATTAGGAAAATTAAATGTTTTCACATTTAATTATTTTAATTAAACGGATCATTATTTTGGATCATTTTACAATTTGACTCAACTGAATAAGAAAAATCTAATTAAAATTTTGTATGGTATTAAATATTTCATTTTCATTTTAAACGGATAATATTTAATATCTAATTTAAATTATAATTTTATTTCATTTATTTTTAATTTTCAGGCAAATAAAAGTTGTTAATTGGAAAACTCTCTTTTTAATAATATCAAAAATTATGTGAATTATTTTTGTTTTCAAAAATGCTCAATTTAATCAAAAAATCAAAAAAAAAATTATAAATTAAGTTTTGTGTTTCTTCAAAAATCCAAGGATTTATAAACCAATAGCTATTTTTTGCAACTTAAACAATTAGTTACTATTAACTTCAAATTAAATTAATTTTCTTCATTTTCAAAACTTATTTTTAATTTGTAGCGAATTAATGTTTATACAAATAATTTTAAGAAAATTAAAATAATTTATGTAATATTATTAATAATTTCATGAAAATTAAAATTATTGGTAAAAAACTACTTTGTAAAATACATAAATAATTAATGTGTTTGTAATTATAATAAAAACGTGTAATCAAAAAATAAGTAATTTTTTAACATAATAAAAAAAACTTTTTATTACCTAATTATGAAAATTAATTAATTATTTATAAAAATTAAAAACTTAATTAAAAAACTTAGTATTCATTTTTTATTTCAAGCATTAAATTTTTATATTATAAAAAGTTTTAACTTTTTTTAACAAAACTATTTTGAATTTTTAACGTTAAAAATAATTTTAATTTTTAATTTTTTACAGAGGCAAAATAATTAAAATAAGTAAAATGTTTTTTTTTTATTTCCTGAAATCTAAAATTTTTTAGCATTTGCATATTTTTAATTTTGGCATAAGACAGTTTAAACCCACATTTTTTCAAACATTTGACTGATTTACTTTATTTTTTCATACAAATAAAATTTCTTTTATACTTTTTTATATAGATATATGTATATTTTATAAAATTTGCTGATATTAAATATAATTTTAGATTTTCCAAAAAATTGTCACTTATTTTCATTTATTTAATTTATAAACAATATTTAAATTAAAATTGTTTATTTTTACTTTTTTTTATTTTTTGGCTTATAAAATATTTAGTTTTTAGCATTTGAGCGCCTCCATAAATTTAAAATATTGTATAAAATGAAAGTATTTTAAAATAAATATTTTATTTTAAATATTTTTATTGTTAAATGTTTTTTTCGCTGATCCGACAAACATTACACATCTTACTTGCTTAGTCTATTACATATCATTTTTTACATTAAATTTTCAACGTCTCACTACCATTTACAAACTACGCTCACATTTTATTTACTACGCTCAATAAAATGTTAAACTTTTAGTTACCAATCAGTACTTTTTCCATACAGAAATTAATAATACAAATTCATTAGTTGCTACATATACAATAATCATTTAAAATACTATAGTTGCTCAGTGCTACAAATGCATGTTTGCATGAAAAATAACAATAACAAAAACGCAATTGAATTTGAACAAAGCTGAAAAGCCAAGCTAAACGCTACGATACTAAGCTTAGAAATATTTGGCAAATTTTTATCAGCAGCAATGGTTTTTCGTACAAAAAGCATTAATTTAAGACGAAAATGCATAAAAATTTATATTTATATAATTTGTAAGCAAAAAAATGTACTCTCAAATTGAGCAGTGTTTGTTTTCAAAATGTTATAATTTTGTTAAGATTTTTTTTTGTAACTTAAGCGCAAAATTTCGATATTTTCACTTATTAAAAGTTTAATTTCATTGCGTAACAGAAGTAATTGCAGTAAGCGATGTGGGCAACAAATGTGTTATAGTGCTATGAATGATTGTTAGAGAAAATTTTATATATTTTTTTTTGAGATCGCTACAAAGGTAATAGTTTTGCTAAATATGTTTGTATAAATGTGGGCTGAGTGTTTTGCTACTTCCTCCCCCATTCCCGAACCTCTTTTGCTGTATGCTCTTAGGCTATTGCGAGCGCTTGCCAGTTGTTGTGACTAGTTACATATTTTAATGCTAATAGTAAATGAGTAGTTTCACTATATTTAAATATTTTTTGTATTATTTTTGTTGTTGTTGTTGGTTTTTCTTTAACTTTTCTCTATATGCTATGTGTTATTACTACAGTTAAGAACTAATCATATGTAGGTATGTACATATGTACGAATATATTGTACATACATATGTAGCTGCCGCATATACATACAAATATAGGTATTTTATATAAATATATATAGGTATTTTATATAAATATATATAGTTATTTATATAATATATTATATATGTGTATGTCTATGCGTGTATATGATTTGATTTGATTTGATTATTTATAAATAGCGGCAATGCTGTGGTGTGCTTGCATTGTTTTTGCTGTTTTATCACATATTTTGAGATTGAATTGAGGTACGCCTGCAAGTATGCAATGCAAACAGCTTGAGTAACTGCCAACAAAAGAATAACCAAAAACAAAAACACGGCGCGCAAAAGCAAAGCACTCAAATGATGTGTGTGCGGATATCTATAATATAAATGTATAAATGTTAGTTGAATTGTGCATCGCAACATGAAAAAGTGTAGGCAATATATTGCAAAGTGCTAGCAACATGCTGCTTGCTACAATACGTTAAAACTACGCTTCGGCGTTCTCTGGCACAAGCTACATTTTAGGCCTCCGTCGCGTTTTGACTCTGCTGCAATGTTGTTGTTGTTGGCGATTGTAGCGGTGATTCTGTTGAAGGTGAAGGCATGGAAGGTGATGACGGCGTTGACGATATTGTTGTTGCCGGCGAATTCATGTTATTGCGAATGTGTCGATTCTCCGGATTCGCCATCACCGATTGTATAAACTCCGATGTCTCGAGCTGCAGCTGCGCCAAACGCCGTTGCAACAATTGATTGCGTTTCACCAGTTTGATCGTCTTCAACGCTATCGATAGTAGTCCTTCAGTTTTCTTTATCTCACACATGCTGGAATATGTATCCGAATCGGTGTCCTCTTCGTCGCTGCCATAATGGCGCTTGTTGCCGCTCAAATTCGTTGTGTGTGATGTGAAAAATTGTTTGTCGCTCAGCGCTGGTGCTGGGAATACTGTTTTAACGGTGCAATGCAGCATTTGTCGTGCTTGGTCGTTATTGTGATAGCGCACGCCGCTTGTTATGGAATGTACTTCACAGTCTTCTTCATCGAGTATATCATTGTCCAGCTCCATTTGTTCGTCGATTATTGCGCGCACCAACTCCGGTCCCCTAGTCGATGAGGAGACGAAATTTTCGGATACTTCGTGTAAATCTTCCTCGTCCTGCAGCAACCGGTCGCCGCGCATCGGCTCTGTATAGGATTTGCCGGCTGCGCTATCGTCCCTGGAGCCACGTACGCGCAGTGTGGATGAGGTGCGTCCGCCTGCCACTGGAAGGAGAAGAGAGGTAAAGAGCACATTAGTTTAGGAAGATTTAAACAATTCCTATAAAATATTTATAACAAAATATTAATATATACGATGCGAACAGCAATGCAGAATCATAAGAAGATGCTCATCTAATTTGAAATACGAAGTGCCAATTCAAAGAAATACGAAAGTGACCTCGGGACCAACGACAATCTCAAATTCATGCGAGTTTCCAATACATTAATGGCAATGACGACCTGGCATAAGAGTCTTGGCATAAGAGGTATATTAGACCGTTTATCTCGAAGAAAGTTTTAAGAAAAATTCGAAATATGAAAAAATATATAAAAAATAACCTACAATAAGAAAACAAATGACTTCAATTAAGCAAATCGCAATCATCAAACGCTCATAAATATAATGGAAAAGTTATTGCAAAAACAAAGAATATAAAAAAAAATAAAAGCAATAAAAAATATTGCCTACCGATTCGATCACGTGTAGCCAACCAACGCCCAGTATTTCATGCAGCCACATAAACAAACAATCGTCGGTTATATACACAAACTCCTATCTATATATATAATATAATATATACGTACATGCGCCAAGGCAAACGTATTAATTCCGGAAAATGGGTCACAACACAGCGTTAAATATTACAGTTACGTGCGATGCTACCCAGCGTTGCATTTAATTAGCAATATTGCTGTTGATAATCGGAAGCAGGCTGGGGCGCACTTCGGAATGCACAACAATAACAAACACAGCTCAGAATGTACCCACACCCCTTCGCAAATAACAAAAATGCCATAAGTGCGAGTAAATAAGCAATAAAATATGTCAGTCGCATGCAGTCGCCAGCAAGGCAGTGAATGCGTAAAAACGTGACCACACCCGAAGCCAAGGCAGGGAATGCAGCACGGTCAGTTGAGCCGCGTTGAATGCAAAGAGGAAGCGCGAAGCGTGGATTATGGGTTGGTCAGCCAGCAGCCGGCGTACAGTTGTACAAATAAATATGTGCATATATATATAAATATATATATATAAACCTCGTGAATAGCGGTAAAAAGGTTGACCCACTCAAATGATTCATTGTACATTGCTGGCAAGTTTATATTCGTAGCACAAATATAAATCTGAGCGCTCGCTTTTGTGGTTGGTAAATGCGGTGATTTTAACATGCGTCCATTGAATTATAAACACGTTGACCGAGATGAAGAGGTCATCAATTTTCGTTAAGTGAGCGCTACTGGATGAATGAAGTATGTGACTAACGATCATATGATTATGAGTTCGTAACCCATTTGAGGCAAATCTTGAAAGCGTTCGGCGAAATTATTGAAATAGTACAGAAGTGTTGTACTAAAAACTGTACTGAATCTTATTGCCTCATAAGATAGATAGTAGCAAAAACTGCGACCGATTAAGAACAAAATTCGAGTACAAGTAATCTATACAGTCCTCCTGAAGAACAGAAATAATCAATTGTTTGCCGTATATTCATAGCTACATCTAAACTATTTGGAAATTGTCAAGTATTATTTTGAAGTATCTTGCAATAATTCCACGCCAACATGATCTCATTCACTTACAAATTTTTTTGGTGCTCGTGAAATAGACTTGACTCTTGACCTTAATTTTAATACTTTAGTCAAAGATCATAAACAAATCCATTTGGATGACTTAAAGAGCCGTCGGAATAAGATTTCGCTACGTCACCCTGTCAAAGCTTTCATAAAAAACATAGACTGAACAGATCTCCATTGGTTAAAGTCATGAAGTCGACAAGGTTCTATTGATTCTTTGAGACCTTAAAAGTCGTAATGGACACTCTACAGAAACGACTCGAAGATATAGTTACCTCCTCAAAAAGTGTCAATAATCAAAGCAGAGAATCTTTTCAAGACTAAGAAATTCAAAGCGGACAAAGTTTAGGTCATTATTTAAGTTCATTCGTAACTATGAGACAGAGATATTTAGCTGCTTCAATATTGTATTAGCTGCATACCTCTCTTCTAACCACTTTATTGACAGTATTCAAGTGAGTTTACCAATCGATTGATTGTGGGAAGAATGTGTCCTCTAAAATACAAGTTAGATATAGAAAAAATAGACAGACATTTTTCATTCTGATAAAAATCAACATTGATAACAATTATTTATTACAACAGCCAGCTGTTGGGTGTTTTACACAGCGATATGCCTGCACCATTTTTTCCCTGTTTCAGCTGGCCCGAATTCAGAGCGAAAACATTTCCATTAATTTTCGTACAAGCCAACAACGCACAATATTTGGTAATTTATATTTATATATATTTATACATATATATATTTGTATATACATATATATATCTTATACCTTATCATATTTATATGTATGTAATTATCTGTGCACGCTTGTTTACAGTTACTTTTGCGGTTGCGGCATTTTCGATTGCACATTGAAAAACCGCACGACAAACAAGTCAGCTCAAGTCAAGTGGCCTCGTTATGAAAGCCTACTATGAACTACACACAAACAGGGCAGGTGATTATCAATAGACCTACGTTCGAGGCATGTGCAAGTCGTTTTTGCAAATCCAGTTAGCTCTAGTTAGAATTACATTAAACAAAATTAAAAGTAAATCACAAACTGGTTGGTTAGTATAGTATTGTGGTTAACCTTTATAAATTAATTGGATTAAACCAATTAATTTATTAGCGGAAAGCTATTGAATATTAAAAGCAGGAACTACTTAACTTGTAAAACCTTAAACTTTTTTCTGATTTATTTTTTCAAAAGCCAGCCAGCCAGCCAGCAGCTTAGAAACTTGATCCCGAAAAAATTAAAAGTTTAGAATTATTATTTTTAAGATGAAGGTTTCTATTAATTGTTTGAAAAAAAAATACTGTCGATATGTCAATGAAATAATATTAACATTTCTTCCTCTTTATAAGCTCATATTTACTCTTTAATCAGCAAAACCAAAATTTATGTGCTCGTATGTTTTAAACATCGAAAAAGGACTTTCCAAGCTTATAACCTAAAAGGAAGATGATATAATAAAGGTTTTATGGAAGTAACAAGGTAAGTATGTGTCGCAGTACTTACTTCTTCTTGTATGGTAAGAATGTGAAATACCGCGTTAGCAATAAAATAAAAATATTCGGCTACATTAGCTTCTAACAAAAGTATTGTCATATCAAAGCTTCGACGATTAAGCTACAATCTTCCCAAAAATAAGGTGTACATACTTCCAAAATGGATATAGAAGAAAGTTCTAGTGGAGTTCATTAGCTGTCGAGTATAGTGAAAAATTTGAAGAGCTTTTCCAACAGTTAAATAGAAATTACTAAATCAACTTTCTTGAAGAGGTGAAGAACTCCAAAACTCTCAAAAATTTTCTCATTTTGCTTCCAAAAAAAATGAATACAATATCTAGTCTGACAAGCACGCTCAATTCTTATGTGAAATTTTCACTTAAATAGGGTTTGTACTTCTAAAATAGGCTCTTCGACCTAACTTTATCTAACAACATTTACATTAAATATGCTCTGAATTTCACATTTTCCTCATAGATTATAGTCTTTTTGCACACGGTGCAATATCTGCTGACTGCTGTACAACGCTCGTCGTAGTTGCAGCGTCAGCGTACTGTTTTTGCAATTATATTATATTTGTTGATGTTGGCATGAAGCACAGCTGACCTTATGCAATTCCCCATTGCAATGCACGAAGTTGAACACAGTTGATTTCATTGTTGCTTATTGATTTTATGACTTTTCGCTTTCTACATACATACATATGTATATATATTATACTATCTATGGTATATATAGCCCTGCTTAAATTACACTTTAATGTACATGTGTGTGTTACGTTTACAGTAATGTATGTATGCACGTGTGGTGTGGAGTGATTATTGTTTTGCAATTAACGTGAATGCATGTGTGTACGAGTTATATGTGTAAATACTTATGTATGCTTACGTATTTTCTAACCATCATTTGTCATTCCTAATTATAGATAATAACGCTAAAATCGATTTTATGCGGAGCAATTTATACGATAAACAGTAATATTTTCAAGTTGAAGGTCTGAAATGGTTTATGATTCTTGATGTACAAAAAAGTTAATAAAACCAATCGTATTTAAAAATACCTATATATACATTTCGAATAATAAAATATGTTTTGAAAAATTATATATTTTTTTAATAAAGATAAGTTACAGAAAATATATTGTGATATAATAAAAATTTTAAATAATTATAACACAAAAAAAAATTTTGTTTGATGAAAATAAATATATAATATAATAAAACATTGAAATTCAGTATTTGAAAAATAAGTAAAAACAAATTATTTTTATTAAAACAGATTAAAAGTATACTAAAACTAAAATTAGCACAATTTAAATTTTTTTTCGAACATAACGGCTAACCAAAAGGGTATTTTAAATAAATTTGAATTTAAAAAAATAATAATTCCAAGATTTTTTCTGTAATAAATATTATTTTTGTACTATTGTACTTTCATAAAAAATCACACAACTAAATAAAATGGTACCACAACAATTACAAAAACAACAAAAAAATTTTAGTTCTTGTATTTTTTGAAGAATTTAGATATTTCTGATATATAAATCAACTAAGTAGATTTATTTTGTTTGTATTTTTAAAGAATTTAGACACAATTTATTATTTCATAATTTTTTTTTTTACATTAAATATACCAATAATATTTTACAAATTGTTAAAAAGTTTAATTAAACACTGAAATAAAAATATTAAAAAGCTAGTTTAAAATTATTAAAGTTTATTTATTTGCTAATAAAAACATTAGTAAATTAAAATTATAAATAATTTAATAAGTAGGAGAGCATTGCAAAAAAGTCACAATAAATTATTAACCCTTTTTCGAATTCGTTATTATTATTTATTTATTACTTTTTTTTTTTAAACAATTGAAGGTTTAAATGGCTAGGGATTAGATAAAAATATATACATATATTTAAAATAATATATAATATATAAAT